AAATAAATAAATAAATAAATAAATAACATTGTTTTTAAGCTTTGAGGTTGGACTGTCTTAAAGACTTAATAATTTATTATAATACAAAGTTATTTATACTGTAGTAACTTAGATTGCTTGGTTCAAGATTTGTTTTCCTAGCAACAGACTAACACAATTACCCCTTTAGAATTTCTTACCCATTACATAAGTGATCAAAATCTCAAAATGTGTCAATGAAGCCATGTATAGTACACACTGAAGTTTGTGTTGAATATAAATTTATGATTTAGGAACTGAAGAGTTATGTTGGTTAATGCTATAGATATGGTTATTAGTTTGAAAATGTTTATACATACCAAATGCCTAGTTATGCAAACAGTTCTTTTTCCTACTGGATTTGCTAGTTATGTAACTAGAAAACCTCTGTCCTAGAGCAGGCAGTACATTATAAAATGGACAATGTGTTAGTATATGCTTCCTTTTATACTTATTTTATTGTTACTGTTTGAAATGCTAGTGTTTTTATAAATAACTTGTAAGCTTATTAAATAGTTATTTTTTCCTGTGAATTTTTAGGCTCAAGCTGTAAAGTTTTTTAATATTGCTGGACAAACAATGGAGAGTTTTGTCCGCACATTAAGTGAAGATAACAAACGTCAGGATATGGATTCTGATGAAAGCCAGTTTGTGTTAGGTTTGGCTGGGATTGTTACAAGTAAGTAATTTCTAATATTTTACAGAATAAGATATCACTTAAATTGACTTACAACTCTTTTCAAGTTTATTTTTAGTTTATTGTAGTATAACTATAGTATTTATGAAAACTGATCATACCATATTAATGACTTTCTCCTTAATACTAATGCATCTTTACTCATTTTGACTTCAGAACTATATTTGATGGGTAAAATATTCTTTTCCCTCTGGCAGAAAAGCCATGGTTTCTGGCTTAGGTTATGCTATGCTATGCTATGTGTTATCATCAGAGTTTCTGACATTTAGTTAAAGTCAGAAATAAGTAAAATATAACATGTTTATAGTTTGAACATAGCTTAACATTCTCCTAATTTCTTTCAAATCTTAAGCAATTCCAATGATTAATTTAATAAATATGACCAAAAAAATGACAGATGCCACATCCCAAATGTTCTGAGCAGCTAACATGTAACACAAGCAAAATAAAAATACTTTTCCTATAAACTTTTAGAATTTTTCCGGAAGTTACATGTGCTTCTAGCAATGTTGATCTTAGAAGTTATAGCGATATGTAGGGATGAAAGTGATCTCTTGGTCGCACCAAAGTCCATTTGAATTCTGACCCTAACCAGGATTTGCATCTAGAAAACAGTAGGGAATTTGTCATTTGCTTAGAACAAAGTGAGTCACATTGTTATATGCCAGCTGAAATGTCCAGACCATCATCAGTAGAAGACCTATGTAGATTTTTTAAATACATTTTCCAAATATTTATACCATTCATGCATTGTCCTGTCTTAATGAAAAAATAAACTAAAAACGCTTCAGATCTTCTGTGGCACTACTGTTTATTGGCTATATATAATCTTGTAAAATATGGGGCATGATTTTCTGGCAGCTTGGATTTATATGTTACAATTACAATTATTCTGGATTATTAATTTTTATAGTTGTCTTGTCCCACTGCCTGGAGGCTATTGGGGCTGGAGGAATAGGCTCAGGCTCAGCCCTAACGAGACTGAGTGGTGGTGGGTGCTTGGTCCTACTTGGCATAGGGTCTAGCTATTTGAGGGACCACCTGCCTCCCATTGTGTCTGCCTGTCCTGTCTTGTGTGCTCCAATAGAGTCAGCTTGCTTTGGTTCCCATTGATTAAGCAATGTCATCTAGGAGGACCCAGGAGCCGAGCTTTCTCCATTGCTGCATTTACCTTCTGGAGCAGCATCCCCACAGAGATTTGTATGGGCTCCTTGCCTGCCTTTGGGTGATCTTTCAAAACCTCCCCCCCCCCGCAGGCCTTCGATTACAATGGTTTATTGTTCCCTCAGCTGCTGTTTTATACAGATGTTGTTTTTATGTATTTCAACTTTGTGAAGCCACCCAGAGCCATTTCAGAGTTGGGCAGACCTAGACAAATAAATAAATAAATAAGCAAGCAAGCAAGCAAATCTCAACACTTTATTTTGTATGTAACTTCTGTTCACTTACCAAATACAGTGGAACCTCGGTTTACGAACTTAATTCGTTCCGTGACTCTGGTCACACCCCAAAT